GACTCCAACTCAAAAAAAGAAATTAGCCAGGCATGGTAGCACATGCCTGTAGTTCCAGCTATTTGGGAGGCTGAGACAGAAGGATCTACTGAGCCCAGGAAGTTGAGGCAATGGTGTACTGTGATCATGCTACCACACTCCAGCCTGGCCAACTGAGTGAGACTCGAACTTAAAAAAAAAAGAAAAGAAAAGAAAAGAAAATTCTCCTCTTACCTTTCCTATAGCTGCTACCTTCTCTTTTACTTGTTCCCCTTCTCTCCATGGTTGCCATGGGCTTCTGCACCCTTCTCCAAGTCACGCAATCTAAGCAGTCCGCCTCCAGTTCTAAGCGGCCTCTTGGTTGTAGATTGATTCATGCAACCAACCTCCCACCAAAACTCCTCCCCCTGTGTGTGGGTCACACACTTGTATCTCACTTTATTCTATTTCTTCAGAGCCCTGCACTTAATTAAAACCAGGTTCCTCACTGTAACGTTGGCATACTCTAACCATAACAACTAATCTGTGTGTCAGGTTTATGTGTTGACAACTCTTGGTTGCTCCCAGGTGCCCAAGCTCTATTCCCGTGACCCCAGGAGGTGATGCTAGACCAGGTAAAGTGCATAAACTCAGGGCAATTGTTTGTGAATTCATCTCAAGATGCATTCTTTTTTTCTTTTTTTTTTTTGAGTTGGAGTCTCACTCTGTCCCCCAGACTGGAGTGTAGTGGCCGCTCCCAGCCACCGCAGCCTTGACCTGCTGGGCTCTGGCAATCCTTCCGCCTCAGCCTTCCGAGTAGCCGGAATTACAGGTGCGCGCTACCACACCTGGCTCATTTTGATTTATTGTAGAGGTGAGGTCTCACCAAGTTGCCCATGCGAGTCTCGAACCTGTGGGCTCAGGCAATCCACTCACCTCAGCCTCCCAAAGGCGCGGTATTACAGGCTGAGCCACCGAGCCCAGCTTCAAGACGCATTCTTAAATCTCTAGTATTTCACCTTGTTCTTGTGAATACAAGCCTCACAGATGGCTCCTCGTTCTCAAAACTGTATTATCTTGAGCTACCGAACGCAGTTGTATGTACTGGAAACAACGTGGTCATTGGAAGCAGACAGCCTTGGGTTTAAAAATGAGTGCAACCATTTGCTAATTATGAGACTTTGAGAGGCTGGGCACAGTGGCTCAAGCCTGTAATCCCAGCACTTTGGGAGGTTGAGGGGAAAGGATTGCCTGAGTCCAGGGGTTCAAGACCAGCCTGGGCAACTTGGTGAGACCTCATCTCTACAATAAAAAATCAAAAAATTAGC